TGCTTCGACATGACAATTGATTATGAACAGAAGGCATGATATTTCATCTTATTTATACCCCCTGTTATTTTTTAAAATTTATTTTTAAACTTTGGAAAAACCAATAGACTTAATTTTTTTTTTAAAAATTTTTTTAAAATCTATTTTTAGACTTTGGAAAAACCAATAGACTTAAATAGAATAGGAAGGTGTGGGTTTTTCCCAGATCTCACATCTCACATCTCAGGAATTTCCAGATCTCAGAACGTGCTGAGCGCGTGTGGGTTTTTCCAGGACCCCTCCCTTTTAAAAAAAAGGTATAAAAACCAGCGCAGAGAGTGCATGGGTCATCATTTTCAGTCAGAAGTCAGAGGTGTATACCATGGCACAAGCAATGATGAATACCAAAGACAACCCCAATTATGCGACACCTGAAGGCTATGTCATAGCCCCCATGCCAGAGACTCAGGATCCTGTAGGACTGGACTTGGGATTGTATAATTTCCCAGAGGCCATGACCAAAGAGGACTTTGGTATTTTAACCACCACGTTAGAGGGGATCGTCAACATGCTAAACCAGATGCAAGTGAATGCAAATAAGTTTGAAGAGAAAGTCATGAGTGAATTCGTTGACCTGAGAGAAATAATGGCCCAACTGGAGGATAAAGTGTGGAAAATAGAAGAAGAAAAAGGTAGAGAACCCACAGACACAGAAGCTCCAAAGAAAACCAGAGAGACCAACCCCTGTTTCATCTGCAAAGAGTTAGGACACTGGGCCCCTGAATGTCCCAAGAAAGACCTATGCTACAAATGTGGAAAATTTGGACATTGGGCCGATAAGTGTGACCAAAACAAACTGTCTGAGAAGAAGAAGAAACCACCCAAGCCCAAGGAAAAAAAAAAGACGCAGGAAAACATGAGTCTCGGGGACAAACAGGGTGATTTATTAAACATTCCTGTAGAAGCTATTGTACATCAGGAGAACAAAGAAAATCTGATTCCACTGGACCAGCCTAAGAAAAGAAAACACAAGGAAGAGGTCAAGAAGTCCCTGAAACTTCAAAAGAAGAATTGACTTTGTATCATACTTAAATAAAAAGAGTTTTTAAACTTTAACATTGACTTGTTTTTCTTTTTTTTTAGAATAACAGCTGGAGATCAGCTGTGTTTTTAAAGTGTCAAAATTAAAGCAGCCAGAGAGGCGATGAAGGACTAGAATGACGTCATAATCAAGATTTGAATCACTGCCAAGTTTAGGGCTAGGTAGGATCTCACATGGATTTTTTTTTTTTCAGGCACTTTAAGGGCCTAAAAGTGCACTCCGTTGACCCAGCCATCCCCCCAGGGGCCCCAAAAGTGCACTCCGTTGATCCGGCCATCCCCCCAGGGCCCAAAAGTGCACTCAGTTGACCCAGCCATCCCCCCCAGGGGCCTAAAAGTGCACTCAGTTGACCCGGCCATCCCCCCAGGGCCCAAAAGTGCACTCAGTTGACCCGGCCATCCCCCCAGGGCCCAAAAGTGCACTCAGTTGACCCGGCTATCTAGGCGCCTTATACTACTGATATGCACAATTAGAATGGGTTATTTTATCGTATGAACGAGTATGACAAGTATCAAAATAAATCAAAATAAATATTAAATTAAAAGGAAATCACAAAAGAGTCTTATTACTTTTTTTCCAAGAAACATTAAAGAAATGAAACTTAAAAGGGAATAAATGCATAATGATACAATGTACATTGTAACATGGTTGTTGAATTCATTGATTTCTGAAACTATCCCCCATCCACTTCATCTTATACGATGGAAAAATCAGAATAGATGAGTAATGATAATAATATCACAAAAGCAATGATTTATGCAATCAATAATGGCATAATAATGTAAGAAGTTTAAAAGGGCACGTTTTCCCCCTAATAAATTGGTTACTTATAATTATTTCTTGAAATAGTTTCTGTTCAAATGCATCTTGAGTTGGATAAAGTTCTCAACTTTTAACACCGCAAAACATTTTCTGAACAACTGATTTTAAATAAAACACACTTTTTTAGGGGTGATTCATTTCAAAATAAACATTACCACTATTCATTATTGATAATTAATAATAATAATTAACAAGAGGCCCAGGGGCCACATCGCTCACCTGAGCACTATGGCTAGGAAAAAGCAGAAATCAGTTCAGTCTTGAAAGGTTGAAAAGTTTAATATAAAAGTGGTTCGGGGGGAGGGGGGGGGGTCATGAATTGAACAAATTTGAATCTACATTATCTGAGGATGCTTCCATTTAAATATGACCAATCATGGCTTTGCTGTTCTTGATTAGAAAATTTTTAAAGATTTAACCTACGTATTCCTATGTAAAACTTTGATCACCCATTGTGGCCCCACTCGACCTCCAGGGGTCATGTTTGAACAAACTTGAATGTACACTATCTAAGAATGCTTCCATATAAATATGACCAATCATGGCTTTGCTGTTCTTAAGAAACAGTTTTTTTTAAAGGTTTTTACTATGTGTTCCTACTTAAAAATTTGATCACCCATTGTGGCCCCACCCTACCCCCGGGGGTCATGATTTGAACAAACTTGAATCTACACTACCTGAGGATGCTTCCACATAAACATGACCAATCATGGCTTTGCTGTTCCTGAGAAGAAGATTTTTAAAGAGTTTTCCTATATATTCCTATGTAAAACTTTGATCGCCCATTGTGGCCCCACCCTACCCCCCGGGGGTCATGATTTGATCAAAATTGAATCTACACTATCTGAGGATGCTTCCATATAAATAAGACCAATCATGGCTTTGCTGTTCTTGAGAAGAAGATTTTTAAAGAGTTTTCCTATATATTCCTATGTAAAACTTTGATCGCCCATTGTGGCCCCACCCTATCCCCGGGGGTCATGATTGGAACAAACTTGAATCTACACTACCTGAGGATGCTTCCATATAAATATGACCAATCATGGCTTTGCTGTTCCTGAGAAGAAGATTTTTAAAGAGTTTTCCTATATATTTCTATGTAAAACTTTGATCGCCCATTGTGGCCCCACCCTTCCCCCGGGGGTCATGATTTGAACAAACTTGAATCTACACTATCTGAGGATGCTTCCATATAAGTTTCATATTTTCAAGCACAGTGGTTCTTGAGAAGAAGATTTTTAAATGATGCCATTAATTTTTCATGAATTCATGATTATCTCTCCTTGAAAGAAGGCGTGGCCCTTTATTTGAACAAACTTGAACCCCCTTCACCCAAGGATACTCTGTGCCAAGTTTGGTTGAAATTGGCCCAGTAGTTCTGGAGAAGAAGATGAAATTGTGAAAAGTTTACAACGACAACGACAACAACGCCGCCGCCGACGACGACGACAGACAACGGACAAATTTTGATCAGAAAAGCTCACTTGAGCCTTCGGCTCAGGTGAGCTAAAAACGATATTGGGATATAATTATTTACTTTTTACAACTTTTCCAAATGAGTGTTGACAGAGGATGTAGCTGGAATTACAACTCTGGATATAAATGTAATCCTCTACAGTATTTTTCTTTTTACACATTCGTTATTAAATCATTTGTAGCATTGTGGCATGTGTAAAAAAAAAAGCTACATTTACATGTATCTCTCCTTGACTGTGCGGATTTCATGGTAAGTTTTTGTTTCATTTATTACGTTTTGAATATAATATTGATCATTTACATGTAAACTTTGAAATCAATTAATATATTCAATGACAACATATTATAACATTGGGGGGAGGGGGGGGGGGTGTAGAGAGAATGATTAATTAAGACCTGCTATCGTTCCATAAAACCTAAACAGAGCGAAGCTTTTAACTGCTTCAAAATTGCTTGAAAAAGAGGAAAAAAATTATATTATCTACTGTCATACCTAAAACTACTTGTAAAGATGGAGCTTCAGTCTACATCCTTAAGCGGTTATTATATAACGAGTTATTCTTGCCAAAAGACGATGAAAGACAACTCTTGTTGTGATACATATGCATTGATAGGGAAGGTTTCCTGTATTACCGCCCTGTATGATATTTAATCAATATACAATATGTTGAACGAACATAAAAATCCTGCCTTCATTCTGAACTGTAGAGGATTAAGTGAATGTATGACCGTAATCAGATGACCGTAATCGGCAAGAACTTCTACATATTTCTAATGCTATCAAGGATTTGTCACTTCACGTTAGGTACTTTTTTCCAAATCTTCATTTTGTTTTTTAGGTTCTTAGTGTTACCAAACATAAACTACAGTATGTGATTTACTGATTTAAGATGAGTAAAGTTAAACATCTCCTTCATACATGTACATTGCATAGGTAAAGTAACCGAACTATAGTGTTCCAAAGAAACGAGTGTTTCGCCTGCTTTAGGAGCATTTAAGACATAATTAATTTATAAAACTTAAGGGTGTTTTTATGCCCCCGTAATCGAAGATTCGGGAGTATATAATTTTTTTTCCTTTTCCGTCCGTCTGTCTGTTTGTCTATCTGTCTGTTAATCTGTTTGTCTGTTTGTCCGCAAAAACATTAACCTTGTCCATAACTTTTGATTGGTTGAGGCTATGGCTTTCATATTTCACGTATTTACTCCCTGCGACAATAGCTTTCTTTGGGTACCATCAATTTTGACCTTTTGACCTTGACCCTGGAGTCTGACCCAGTATTGCAAAAAATTACCAACTTTAATCTTGGCCATAACTTTTGACAATTGGTGCAAAACCTTTCGTACTTTACATATGTAATCCTTGGGACAAGACCTTTCATTGGATATCAACAACTTTGACCCTTTGACCCCTTGATTTTTGAGTTTGACCTTCTTTTAAAAAACTTTAACCTTGGCCATACGTTTTGAACGGTTGGTGCTAGGGCTTTCGTACTTCACATTTGTAATCCTTGTGACAAGACCGTCATTTATATACTAAAAACTTTGATCTTGACCTTGCAGTTTGACCTACTTTTCAAAATACTTTACCTTAGCCATTACTTTTGAACGATTGGGACCAGGCTTCGGGGCCACCAACATATAAAAATCTCAGCTCAAATCTCAACCTCAAATCTTAGATTTCTGCCTCACCTGAGATTTTCCTAAAACACCGTGCCACCAACATTTCTGAGATTCGTCTCACGTGAGCTGAGATTTGAGAAAAATCTCAAATTGTTTTTAAAGTTGTAAGCGGCCATGAACATAATAAATTCTACTTTCACTTTATTGTTTTCATTTGTTTTATTACGAAATATAAGATAGCATGTATATTTACATATTGATATCGTAACAATCAATGACGTCACATGTAGAGACCGTCTGCAATATTATCAAACATGGCATCAGACTACGAGATAGCTATGGAAATCGCTAATAACAATGATAACTGTTCAACTGGATCCGCACCCGCCTCTCTCTTGAAAAAAAGACCGAATTGGACTGAGCTGGAGAAAAAGATTCTGGTTGAAGAAGTACATGCGATGGAGGGGGTACTGTTCGGAAAATTTAAGGGCGGATTCGGGGGGAAAGCAGCCAAAGAAAAGGCGTGGGCTGATGTGGCGGAGGCAGTGAATGGGTAAGTCATCTTCGGACGAGTCACATGATCTCTAGAGTAAAAATAGCAACAAAATGGCGATTGCAGACTGCACGATCTTCTGGAAGTGGAACTTAAAACAGATAAGTTGATATATAGCCTATTTTAATAGACGTATATACGAACAATTACAAATAAGTACCAACTATATGATTATCAAAGAAAAGATACACATGTAGCATGTAAAATGTACCTGAAATGCCACAAGTTTGAGCAAATTGAAATTTTTCACTGTTTTTCATCGCCAGGTTGCCCTTAGTAATATCCCACTTTACCTCCAAGTGGTGTTAAATAATTATATATCTATAGTATTATGTTTCCATTTTACGCCGAATGTTTTAGATATTAGTTACATACAGCCAAGACTGCATAAATTGAAAAAAAGAATGTCCTTTTTTCATTCCTAAGGTCACTGAATTGAACGTAGTAAGTAAGTATGTAAGTAATGTATTTATTTCTAATTTTTGAACTAATATCAGTGATGATGATAGGAGTACACACAACTTTCATACAAATTAACTTGAAAGGAAGAGAAATAAAATAATAGTAATGATATGTTTAAAGCTCAATAATTGTGACTGTGAGCTCTGACTCTGACACAATCACATATTCAGAATTATAAACTAATTACCACATTTAAAAAATCAATGTTAATCTTTTATATTTACATTTTACATGTATATTGCTTATAAGGTATGTGGTAAGCTACAGCTTTCAAAGCACTATATGACATGGAAAGTGGGCTGGGTCAAAAGGTTAAAGTATGCATTTTATTTTGATGTCGCAAACGTTGAATGCCTTGGAAGTGCAACATCATAAGCGAAAATCAAAATTCACTCACACATTTAATAGAAGCTGTTGCACTCTTCCATTAATTGTAACTTACCTGAAGGATAATACAAGGATTTTGAAGTATAAATTACATAAAATTTCACTGTCAAGGCAAAGAATGTAAATATAAGCATTGAAGCATTACTCAATTTGTTTGCACACACTGTGCAGTTGCAGTTATGAGACTAACTTTCAAAACATAATGATTCAATGCTTAATTAATTCATGACTATCTGTGAGATTGGTAAGATTTGTCTTGATGTAGGAAGCATGTACTCATGACTTTCATAAATCCTAAAATTCTGATAATAATTCAAGGAGTATGTATGTTAGAATAATCTAACTGTGTCTCGAGACAGGCCCTCACATTTATCATTTTTATGATCATAGAAAATTCTCTCTAAGGAGTATGCAAAGAATTACCATTATTATTTATGTTTAATCTTTTTGTACAGTTTTATAGTAAGTTAGCACATCATTATGCTTTGTCTTTGATTTCAGAGACATAAAAACCATAACATTTTTTTTTGGTTCGATTTTCAGAGGTAGTGGTTCAGGAAACTCAAGGACTGGGGTAGAAGCCCAAAAACAGTACAGCAATTTGAAGCAGAGAGGTTTTTACTTCTAACTTTACTTTCTTGCTTACATCATGTACATCTTTCAGGATAGAGTAGGAACACAATTAATATAAATTAAAAAGTCAGAAGCACATCAGGGTTTGACATTAACTTTTATGAGCACTAGACCAATCGGGCTACTTCCCATAATTTTTACTAGCCCTGACCATAAAATCACTAGCCCTGACCAAACTTGAAATTTTACTTTTTATAACCTGCTAATTATTATGGGGAAAAAAATTGGAAAGCATACTTTAATAAAGATATCGTCTCTTGCACCTGTTAAGATATATTTCGACAGACTGTTCCATAGGACGCAGGCCATTGAGTCGGGATAAGCGGGACATGCAAATATTATAAGCCTTAAAGAACACTCAACAAACTTTAATAAAATAATTACCCTATATATAAGTAAATTAAAGAATATATTATATATATTATACATCAATAACTATTCATTCCAATTTACACTGAACGAAGCTAGTTTCGATTACAGCCAAATTAAAAATAGCAATTGTGTCTGCGGGAAAATTTTCTTCTACAGAGTGATGGCTGTGTTTACAATCAGACAAATAAGATTAAAAATTAGAATATTTATTTGAAAGACTGAAATGAGGGTTAACTTTATTTCATCCACACGACCAGTCGGTCTAGATCACGAACATTTTACACGACCGGACCACTCATTTACCAGACTGGGTCGGTCGGACGTGCCTTAGTGTCAAACCCTGCACTTGTAAATTTTTTCAAGGAATTATTTTAAGTACACATATAAACTATCTTATGATGATGTAAATTTTTTTCTAATTTTCTCTGCAGTGTGCACAAAAAGCACTATCATTATGCCCAAACACTAGTAAAAATTTAGACGGGCTAGTAAATGTAGGTTGGCACAAAGGTGATTGGACTTAGGCTAAATGTTTAGCCAAATTTTCCATTTCTATATCATATAATGTACGATTATGGTGCACCGGACTGCATTCATGTTTTAAATTAAAACAAAAACACTTACATTCCAGGATCAAATAACTGCATAAATGCTGTTATGTCATGTGACAATGAAATGACAGAACAATTAAGGATAGTAGAAATTTGATTTTTGAAAATAAATTTGAGCCTTCAGATTAAATCTACAGTTATATGTATCAGGCTAGTACTGATAAAAATATTGGAGGGTAATCATTTGACAGTCATGTAGACTTTACATTTGTAGAATTGCCTTAGTATTTTATTCAGAGCTTGGCAATATAGATTCCGGTAAACAAAGTTTACATTCAAAAATACATTCACAGTATAAACTCAAAGTCAACACAGTTGTATGTTCGGAAACTTCATGCTAGGATGTTGGAATTACCTACTTACATATGTAGACTATAAATCTGATACAATTGCAAGTTTGGATTTACAAACTTGCATGTCTGGATTTTTTAACAGGATTACCCTCCATATAAAAAGGGATTCAAGCTAGTAAAATTTTTGCCATTACTAGACCGACTGGGCAAGTGCTTAAAAAGTTTGTGGTGCACAATGTATCAAGAAGAAATTGAATTCAATATGTTCTTTGTTCACATTTATAGTAAAGTAAACATTTTTTTAAACACTTTTAAAGCATGTATTCTGTGTATGTATTCAATATAACAATTGTCTATTAAAAAATATCATTAAACTGTAAAATAATTTTAGCCAAAGGAAAGTTGTCGGAGATGAAGAGGCCTAAGACAGGTGGTGGTCCAAAGCCCCCAAGTCCATCTCCTGCAGAAAAATCCATCTTGGATAACTTGGAAGGTAGACCTTCATTGGAAGGTATATCTGGAGGGATAGATACAGCTGGTAATAGACACTTAACACTTTTAATAATTAAAAGTAACTGACAAACAACACCTTTGCAATGTATCTCTGTATTATGATTAGTATATATATTAAGTCACAGTTTTCAGCAAATTCAAATTTGTGGCAACTGCATGTACATGAATGTAACTTTAAAAGATTTTTAACTTGTGCATTAGATTTAGTCAATGAGCAGTGTTGTTGAAACAATCATTTACCATACTTTACTATACATAAAATATCAGATAGTAGACATTAGGGAAGGTAATTGAATATGAAATTGCCAATATGTTAACTGCAAGACATTATTTCAATTTTAATAGGAAAAACAAGATGTGTTTGTGAAACACTATGCCCCCAATGGTAACACATTTCTGGAGTGGGACGTAGAGTACAGTGCAATAGTTATGGCCAATGTTAAAGTTCTTCAAATGTAGGTCAAAGGTCACAGTTGAGGTCACATGATCAAAAATTTCTGTACCAATGGAAAGGTCTTGTCATAATGAACACTCATGTCAAATATTAAAGCCTTACCCTTGACAGCGCAATAGTTATGGACTAAGTTAAAGCTGACAACAGACAGACAGACAGACAAACATACAGCTAAACAAACCGACAAACAGGGCAAAATCTATATAATCCCCAAAAATCTTTCACTTCAGGGACATAAAAAAAATCACAAAAGTTGCTACACAAGTTCATTCTGCATTTACATCATAATCAAAACTAAGTCTAAACGATCTCTAATTTACAATGTTTGTTTAATAGATCTGTTGCCAACCCAGCCTTCCACCTCCTCAGATATGCCTGAAAAGAAAAAAGATGTCAGAGGTACTATAAATGTTTGATAATAAAATTTTTATAGGGTAAAAAAAGCAATGGCCCTTATGGTAGTTGCGTAATATCTATTCTGTGTGCTATCTCAGTATTCACATAATTTTTATGCCCCTACCAAAAAATGGCCAGATATACAGTATTATACATTTATTCACTGGGTTCGAGGGTAACATGCGTTTTGTCAGATCCAAGAACCAAACTGTTGCATGAGGCAAACAGTTTGATTCGAGAGGCCAACAAAACCCATTTTGCCTGAGAACACAGTCAGTAAATGTTATGTTGTACCTTTTACTTTTTAGCTCACCTGAGCTGAAGGCTCAAGTGAGCTTTTCTGTTTACATTTTGTCCAGTGTCCGTCTGTCTGTCTGTAAACACTTTACATTTTCAACTTCTTCCCAAGAAACACTGGACCAGTTTCATCCAAACATGCCACAAAGTATCCGTGGGTGAAGGGGATTCAAGTTTGTTCAAATGAAGGGCCACACCCTCTTCCAAAGGGAGATGATTACAAATTAGTGAAAAATTAATGGCATCTTTGAAAAATCTTCTTCTCAAGAACCACTGGGCCAGGAAAGATGAAACTCATGTCGAATCATCCTCAGATAGTGTCAATTCAAGTTTGTTCAAATCCTGACCCCGGGGCTAGGGTGGCACAATGATGAAAATTCAAACGGATAGGAAAAAAGCCACAGTTAGTCAAAGAAATATATAAGCATCCATAGTTAGTGTAGATTCAGCTCAAGTTTGTTTCAAATCATACCCCCCCCCTTTTAGGGGTAGGTCATGACCACTTAATCTTTTCAATGCTGAACTGATTTTAGCTATTTTCTAGCCACAGTGCACAGGTGGGTGATGTGACCCATGGGCCTCTTGTTATTTTGAAATATCATGATGTAAATTTCGTTTACTCGCACTGCAGTTCTGTCGAACTCCAACAATTGCAAATAAGATATAGCTGACCCTGCCCTCTCTGTGACGTCAGAGGTTCAACATCTCATCGACAGGTCAAACATCTCACTCTGCAGTTAAACATCGATTTGTTATGCCCGCTCAGTAAAACACAGGAGATGTTAGACTTTTTTTTAGTATAGAATTATATAGGACACAATTTTTAAAAATATAACAAAACCCATTTCTGTTGTCATTCTGTCATATTTAGTTTTCTGGATTATTTAATGCTATGCAAAAGGTAATAAGCTGATTTATGATTTATTTCTTCATATTGATGACTTAAAATCAAGTTAAGTTTCAGTAAGTTGACTTCCATAGAATCTTTCTTACATAGTGCCATTGGTCATCTCATGTTGAATAGTTTACACCTATTTACTGACAAAGAGAACAAAAGCAAGTTTATTGTCCCTTGAGAAATAGTTGCTGTTGATTTGGAACAATAAAATTGCTATTGTAAATTATTTAGTCAACTGAGTCACTAAGGTGACCTATTTCTATCTTTTTGTGAACTTGAGCAATTATATTTAAAACTGGAGTGATAAGATGTGAATTTGAGACCTCAAGGTCCTGTATGTTCAGATTAAAAAGAGAAAGAATTCTATCATTTTCAGTAGTTTTATTTTAACAGATTCTGGTAAGTCATCAAAGAGGAGAATGACAATTCAGGATTTGGAAGAAAGGAACCTCTGTCTTGAAAATGATAAATTACAAGAAGAAATCAAGAAGATCAAAGATGAAAGAGAGCTTATCCAATCACAGAAATCTTATTATGATTTAAAATTTCAAATATTGGTTAATTCAAATCCAGAGGTTGTAGCTCAAATGTTAAAAAGTAATGAAATTTAAAAGTTTGTTAATGGTTAATCAGGTAGTGTAGGGATATAAATGCATTTCTGGTGCTGCATGATGAAATATTGTAGTTACCATATAAAATTTTTAGGTCACCCAAGTTACTCAGAAGCCTTTTTATGCCCCGCCATGAATATGGCCGGGGCATATAGTGTTTGTCATGTCCGTCTTCTGTCCTTCCGTCTGTCTTTTCGTCACGCTTTGCATTTAGCTCTGTTCAAAGCTCAGTTGTAAAGAAACTATCCAAGATTTTTTTGTCAAACTTAATATGCTGATACATACTGATGAGAGCTATTCAACAGCATCAATATTTTTTTACCTTTACCTTTTCTTTGACCTTGACCTCACTTTTCTTAAATTAATGTTTACCTCAGTTTTCAAGATACCATTCAATATTTTTATCAAACTTAAATATGCTGATATGTATTTGTGAGAAGTATTCAACTGCATCTAAAACATTTGACCTTGAACCTTCCTGTGACCTTGACCTCACTTTTCTTAGATTTGCATTTTGCATAATTTTAAAGAAACCATTTAAGATATATTTATGTAAGTTTATGCACTTATACATAATTTGGTGAGAATTTATCATCTATATCCAACTTTTTAGATTTCAATTTCAATTTTAAAGAAACTATTCAAGATATTCTCATCAAATTTCATACATTAATACAAAGAACTCGACCCACAATATGCCTTATATGGCCTAGCAAATATGAAAAAATTAAAGAGGGCTTTAGAATAAATGTTTTTGGTAATTCGCACCCTAGAACACTGATACATTTCACACGTGTAACAATTCCGTCGAAACCGGATGTTAATGATGTCAAACTAAATTCTAAACCTCACCATGGTTCAAGGTTTTCCGGGAAAATGCCGAAAATTGCACAGTTAATCGTGATTTACACATAGGGCACATTCGTTACGGCAAAATATTAAAACAGAAAAGTAACAATCACTATTCGACAAATGTTTTCCAATAAAAATATTTACCCGTAACGAGTGCGCTCGTGTTGAAAAAAGGAAAAAATCATTGCGTGTGAAAGAACTATCATGGCCACAAACTATCATATGCATGTATTTCCTCGTGTTTTACACAAATTTAAAGCATCGATTCAAGAGGGGTATTATATTTATTGGGTAAGTGGACAACACACTTCTATCCCACATGTAAAAAAAAATTGTCATATGATGTGCCGATAGGCACATCTGACAATTAGAACATGTGATGGTTTCTAAAATGCGATAAAAAAATGTCGTTTTTTCGACAGATTTTTTTTCAAAGACGAGGCCACAGGCAAGAACAATTGTCATACTTACCATCTGTATAAATACCACAAATACAAATATACATGCCCATTATTATCGTTGGTCCTGCTTGTGGCAAATATGAAATATGACTTTATATCAGTTTATTTTGATGCCTTCAAGAAGCAATAATTGTTGATAATCAATCCTTAATGGGTGCTTCATATTACACTTAAGATCCATAGATAACACACAAGGTGAAAGAGAAGCACTCGATTGTTTGTTTCATGTGCAGACGATAAAGTGGAAAAGAATCTATAAATTACATTTTCTGAAAACGAAATTGGAAAAAAAAACTTATATTATGATCATGTATGTTTTACGTGACGTTACTCATTATATACGTCATTTGTGACGTCATAAAAGATGTAGTCATTGTGGTTTTGCTAAATTAAAAAAAAGTTTTCTAATTCTTTTATGGACCTAGCTTTCTGTTGTTTTGTTAAATGTATTAAATAGACAGAGGAAAAAATATCTTTAAAATAAATCATTACAAATTTTAACATTGAGATTTCCTGTAAACTGGATCCAAAATAGAACTCATATGCGGGTGCGTAAAACGCACATGTTTTTGACGAATCCCCATGTGGAAACAAACATACAAAATTTGTATAAACATGTAGTCGCAATCAATCTTTATTTTTGTACCTACATACCAATCAAATAATTCTTATGCACATGCATATAAAAGCGTGAAAAGTAATTTTCATCCTTTTTTAAAGGAAGGATATTTGTCTGGTTTCTGACTAAATAAAATATTCAAAGTATATTTCAGGCACGTAGCTGCATGAGATCTACATGAGAGAGAGAGAGAAAGAGAGAGAGAGAGAGAGCGACAGAGAGAGATATCGCAATATCATCCAGCAAAATTTTCGTTTTATTTACTTTTAAAAATTTTTTTTTTTTTTTTTTTTGATTTCATATATATATTTTTGGTCATATTATTTCGAATAAAATTTTGCGATAGCATGTCTATACAATCAAATGTGAAATCTATTATCAAATTATTACCAAATTCAAATAAATTATCTATAGTAATTAGTTTGTAAATCTATAACATATTGACATTTTCGGTATTTGAGAAATTAAATTTAAAATCATATCGTTGAATTAATCAAATACATGTAGTATATAATTTAAAATTCAATAGTTTTTTAAACTAACATTTATTATACTTGTTGCTGAACATTATACTATAAAAAGTGCAGACGATTCCAATAAATCGGTAAAATATCCAGCCTCAAATACTCGTATAATAAATTTCCGTGGAAGATAAGCTTTGTGTTAAGGTATCCGACCCATAATAGCCTCAGATTCAGTGAATCTGAATGTATAACAGATATATATTGGCTGAATACTCAGTATATGTAGACATAATCTTCATGTTTTAGTATCAATATGTAAGAGCGGAATGTGTCCTAATTTTTGACCTTGTCCTGTCCTTGAAGAGTTATCCCCCTTTGCTTTTAATCAATAAAAATCAATTCTGAAAAATCTATCTGGTAAAAATTTAGTTTTCAATCGCTTTTCTATTCCTTATAATTAAATACATCTTTCCACCAAAGCATTTTTTGATATTCTTAGTATTAAAAGTTTTATTTTCAAAAATTTTCTTGTCCCCATAAACATCAATGCAATCTTCATTAATTAATTACTGCTTAGGTAATTATATTTTTGAAAATTTCTCTTGGTAAATCCTTTACTACTCTAAAATGCTTAGAATTAATATCAAAGTATTTAATATAGGATGGATATTTAAGGTTAGAAAATTAAGTCCTATTATGGGTCGGATACCTTAAAACAATATAAATAAGGTTTTTATTTCTAAAGAAAAGCGATACAGCATATTTCCTGCAAGAAAATGATTGAAATATTTGGAAAAACCATGGAGCTAGCTTACGGGGGCTTTGCCCCCTGGGCCCCCATCAGGGTTTCACCCTGGATCTACTGGGACCCTCAGGGCGGCCCCCAGTCCCCCTGCCGTTCCCTGCGTACACATCAGCTCCATTCTGGCTACGCGCCTGTATTTGCTCCTATATCTTTTAATTATGTCGACAATATTTGTTTTGATACACGTATTTTCGTTTATTGACATACCTCATATGTGTTTCCAGAAGCAAAATGCATATTTTAAATATATGTCCCTATGGAAATTACTAAAAATATTCAGTTATCCGGGGCATCGTTTTTTTTTTAAAGAGATGGGGGTGGGTGTCATCAAGAAAAATGAATGACATGACGAGCAAAAAAAAAAAAATGTCATACACTTTGACAAGAAAGAAGAAAAGGGAATTGATACATGTATGTTTCAAAAAATTCATAATTATTCAATCGTGAGTACATTAATGTCAATAACGAGTAAAATCTGTAGATCTATGGTAATAGGCCTTCCGCAGTCTTCTGTATTAATTGTTTAATTACCACAGTCTTATGTATAAAAAGTTCTTGTCAAGTTTTATTGACCAGTACAACCCTCGTTACAAATGACTGTACACTGATTAACATTTAAACACAATATACATGGCCGTAGGAAGTTAGGAACCGGGGGAGCATGCCCCCCCCCCCCCCCCCAATAAAATCATAACGTGAAAATGAAATAGAAAGTAGTGAATGTTATAGTAACATATAAGAAAGCATATTAAATTTACTATATTTATAGATCTATCGATAATGATATGTTTTGAGAAAAAAGGAAACATCACTTATCTCTACAACCCGGCACGAATCACTAACTTATTTTTTTTTAAATAAATACACTATCCGTTGAGTTGCGGCCGAATCTCCCGTACGCGTATGAAAGTTTGGTTAGCAATATAGATAAGAATTTATCTAAATGTCACATGTACTCTCTTTGTATAGAAACATTCAAAATGAGCCCGGTATAAACACAAATTTCTATCTTTATTAATTTCTTGCAGTAAAGATGTATTTTGAACAACATATCAGGTAATACTTATATACTCTGTTTATTCTTAGATGGGGAATTGACTGGTACATGTATATATGTATATAAAATGAACATCTTTATCTGCTTTTTAATATAATCATAAATTGATTATGATGTTGATAAGATAAATGTCTATTCCAATTATTTAATTTCAAGTCCTGTGTTCATATATCGGTACATTATAATCCGATAGTCACTTCTATCGCCTTTTGACGTGACGTTACATTACAAAAAATGACGTTCCTATTGCATTTTTCCATCAAAACACTGCCATACTGCAAGATCTCCTTTTAAAAAAGTATAATAGATATCGAAAAAAGAAAAACGGTTATGAAAAGCTAACAGTCTACACTATCTATAATAAAAACCACGTTAATTTTTGGAATGAGGCCATTTCTGATGGTTCGTGGATTTTGCTCTTTACATGTTGCATTACTAATATACCCTCGGCTGAGCATTCATGTCCTATGGACATATTTCTAGTTGCTTTATGTTTTTGTCTGTCATCATGCGTCATCAGTCAACATTTGATCATTTTAAGCTTCTTCTTAAGAACTGCAGAACCAATTTTTAAAAAAAATTGGCATATAGCATCTATAGGTGAATAATTTAATTTTAGTTGTAACATGTCATTTGGTTGGATAAAAGATTTCATTTATATCGTATAACATAAGTTGCCTATGTCACAATGAGTTACATCAAAAACGTATTACTCCACTTAAAGTTACTTTTAAAATATGCTCAATTTGAAGCCATTTTTGGAGGAAAAATTGTCTTATTGTCTACACTGAAATTAAAATATAAGGAATGAAGCTTATTTTAACCTATGTTATATGAAATAACATAACTTGGGGCAGTTTACGCTTTTTAGCTCACATGAGCTGAAAGCTCAAGTGAGCTTTTCTGATCACCAGTTGTCCGTCGTCCGTCTGTCCCTCCGTTCGTCTGTAAACTTTTCATGTTTTCAACTTCTTCTCAAGAACCACCAGGCCAATTTTAACCAAACTTGGTACAAAGTATCCTTAAGTGAAGGGGAGTTTAAATTGTTAAAATAAAGGGCCAAGTCCCCTTACAGGGGGAGATAATCAAGAAAAGACAAAAATAGGATGGGGTCATTAAAAAATCTTCTTAGGAGCCACTGGGCCAAAAAAGCTGAAACTTATGTGGAAGCATCCTGGGATAGTGTAGATTCTAAATTATAAAAATCATGACCCCCAGGGGTAGGGCGGGGCCATAATAGGGAATCCAATTTTTACATTGAAATATATAGGGAAATTCTTTAAAAATCTGCCCCAAGTTATGTTATATCGTATAACATAGGTTAAAATAAGCTTCATTCCTAAAAGGGAAACAAGATCAAGTCCTTGTCATTTTCATTAGCTGTTTCTTGTCTACAATGTGTCACATAGTAAAGTAGTGGTAGATAATGCAATGGAGTTGATATGTTTTAAAGTCTTTCCAAATGGGGTCTAATTTGAGTATTCAGAGAATTTTTTATTGACTTCCAAAGGTAATGATTATCAGAAAGAAATGGTTGTACTTAATAAAAAAGAGTCTGCTCAACAGAAACTATCAATAAAAAAAGTAATACAAGGGGACTAGGGATATCAAGGTTTGTAAATGTACTTTATATCCCTACCTGCTAAAGGTTAAAAATGCTTAGAATTGTTATCACTATCTTTATCAAAGATGTTTTAATCTGTTACCATTATGACATGCAGATGTGCGTTTACATACTTTGACAAAACAATAGTTTACTTGTTTTAACTCTATCACAAAATTAATGAATTGTCATTCTCCTCTTTTTATGTCCTTACATGTTAGCTCACCTGAGCCAAAGGCCCAAGTCAGTTTTTCTGATCACATTTTGTCTGGCATCTGTCTGTCTGTCTGTCCATCAGTAAACTTTTCATATTTTCAATTTCTTCTCAAGAACCATTGGCTGAAGGGCAGATAATTATTAAAGAACTAGTGAAAATTCAATGTCTTCATTTCAGGAACCACTGGGCCAGTAAAGATGAAATTTTTTGGAAACATCTTAAGGTAGTGTAGATTCAAATTTAATCAAATCATAACCCTCTGGGGTTGGGTGGGGTTGCCAAAGGTGATCAAAGTTTAGAATTGAAATACTGAAAAAAAATTTTAGAAATTTTTAAGGAACTTCTGGACCAGAAGGGTTGAAACTTGTGTGAATCTTTAATATATAATTATGTAGTTTCAAATCACGGTCCCCAAGAGTAGGATGGGTCCACAATGGCCAATCAAAGTGTATCATAAAGAGAACAGTAGGGCCATAGTGACTCGGGTGAGTGTTGTGAACCATGGACTTCTTGTTGTAAGTGTTCCTAAGCACTTGTGCTTATTAGATCCTCATGTAAATGTATGATGTATATACATGTATTAAAGATTGTTAGATGTAGCTTTTAAACCATTAACTCAATTAAATATTCTCATCAAAATCAGAATCTGGCTGTTGTTGTATTTTACCTGTAGCATTAAAATTCCCATATACCTTTAGAAATTCAAATGTAATAAAGTAATGTTAAGAAAATAGATTTACCATCTTCATAAGAAGTAAGTGTCTCTGATATGGTCCCTCAGTGCGTCCAACAGCATCATCTTGCACTTGAAGGTCATCAGCCATGGCACACACATCATTCATAACATCGGCATCTTGAAGAATATCCCTTCGCTCAATGCCGATGTTATGAAGGATGGTACATGCTGTTACAATTCTGCAAGCTCTCTCCGGCTTGGTTCTAAGGCCACAGTGGAGGGCATAAAATCTTTTTTTAAGAATGCCGAAGGTCTGCTCTATGATAACCCTGACAATGAAAATAATTGAAGGTTTAATATTCATGTATCATGGTTTTCTGACCTGAAACTTGAAATTTCTAGTATTGAAATGGTTAATTGTAAAGTCTGTTGCTCTATAGAAGAGACAAATCTAAAGAGTAACCTTGTTCTGCAATGTGCTGTGTTTAATCGCCTATTCCTAGGGGCATCCTCTGCCATGTAAGGGGTCATGAGATACGGTTTTAGGCCGTATCCTGAATCCCCAAGGAGAATCCCTGATAGCTGTCCTAAATTGCATTACAATTAAATAATTCATGAACTGTTTTAAATTTGTACATTATGTTGAAATTGTGAGTTTTTAATTTTTGAAGTAATTGTAGTAATTGCATGTATCCAATACACAAAGGTTTAAAAAAAATATGGCATATGTTAATTCTATCAACATGTAAATAGACTGTAAATTTAACATTATAGACTGTAATGTATTCACATGCCTTCTTCCATCATTTTGCACAAGCTCGATTCCCTAAAGATTCGAGCATCATGGACACTCCCAGGCCACCTTGCTACAACATCAAGGACTCTAAATTGTGGATCACATGTCATCTGAAAAATTAAATTAATGTAATGAATGAAAATATTTCAAACCGATAAAGTTGCATAAATTTATGATTGACTTGCACTGGACTTGTTGTATGACCCATAGCTACAGTTTCAAAAGGGGGGGGGGGTGATTAAACCACAAAAAAAATCAGACAGCTAAAAAAAAACCCTTTTCAAACTCGAAAATTCTATTGGAAAGGGGGGGGGGGGGCTTCACTTGGTATGTATATTTTTTAAATGCTGGAATTTGCCAGTGTTCAAACTTACATCAAATAAAGGTTGAAGGGGGGGGGGGGAGGGGAGGGGGACCAGTCCAGCATATAAATGAAAATTTATTACAACAATAAGAGACTATGCTCAGAAAAAAGTTGAGGGTGCCCCCCGTTCCCTCCACGCATTCTATGGTGTATCAGTTTTATAATAACTGTGTGTATATATTATGTCAGACTTAGCTTGTGTGGACAATGATAATATATATATATATATATATATATATATATATATATATATATATATATATATATATATATATATATATATATATATATATGGTACATGTACCTGTATATTAAGAGCATAATAACCTTTACGGCATAGATAATCAGATTCATTTTCAGCTGGAGCAATAATTTTTATCATGGTTCCATCCACGCATCCAACAATACTTGGGAATCCTAAAATAGAATTCAATTTTTATCAAAAATATGAACATTTCTATCCCTTTTTTTTGTAAAGAGGGGGAAGGGGGGGGGGGGGGCTAATTGTAATAGACATTTGATGCTAATGTTTGAAAAAACATTTATACAATTACTTATTACGGTGAAAAGAATAAATTGCCTCAAAAGTAAGGATCCTAGAAAAATTTGACATAATGATGGACCGCATGCAGTTGTTTGATCCACCAACCTATTTTCTCAACAATATTTTCTTAAAATATTTCGTTTGTATGTGTCATATGGATGAAAATATATATATTGTATATTATATATACTAATATAGGATTAATTAAATGAATTCTATGTGGAAAGATTTATAAAATACATGTATGCGTTTTATATATATGTAGTGTATATTATGAAATAGGGTTCAGGATTCGTTTTTTTACGACTGGGTTAAGGTCAAATGAAAACAACAAGATGTGCAGACGCTTCTGTGTGTATTATTTTACCTGCAATTTTGTGGAAGGCAGATTTAATGCAGATAGATTCATTTCTGTCAGGAAGTCGAACGAATTGTCTGACCTGTGTGCATAGAAGGTCTGTCACCCTGCGCACCGCTCTCCCTGCCGTACTCTTGGATACAGACAAAGTGTCCCCAAGAGTGATGTAAAATGACCCCGTTGCAAAATACCGGAGGGCAACCAAAACCTGGTACAAGGGTGTGAGGGGGTTGTTCCGCTGGCTGTCATAAAGCAGTTGGTCTTGAATAAGACCAACGATAAACATAATTGTTTCTGGGACAAACCGGTACCTTTCAAATACCTCAGCTTCATTAAAAGTTTCCAGTGGATTAGAACGGTCGTTCATTCTTCTTAAAATGGAATTTCGACGGCGACGTCGGCGCTGCAAATGTCGTCTGACTGCCATTTTGGTGAGTGATTTCACGTGAGAATTTATTTGAGGTTGCTATGTTCCAATCTCAAGATTTTCTGAGAAATCTCAGATTTTTTTCTCAGCTGAGTCGGAAAAAACGTTGGTAGCACGCATGTTTGAAAAAATCTCAGATTTGAGAAAAATCTCAGATTTGAGAAAAAACTCAAAAGATAAGTCTGAGTTTGAGAAAATATTTATTTGGTGGCACAGTTTGGTGAGAAATACTCAAATTTTTTGAGAAATCTCAGATTTGAGAAAATCTCAGCGTTGGTGGCCCCGACGCCTGGGCTTTCTTACTTCAAATTTGTATTCCTTGTGACAAGTCTATCCTTTGTATACCAACAACTTTGACACTTGGTCCTTGATCTTTGAGTTTGACCTACATTTAAAAAACTTTAACCTTGGCCATAACTTTTGAACAGTTGCTAGGGCTTTCATATTTTATTAGTATATTTCTTGTGAGAAGACATTATTTTGGGTACCAGCATATTTGATTTGCATTTGAGAAAGTTTAACTTTCGCTGTAAGTTGTCATACGGGGGCATCAGTGTTTTACAAATACATCTTGTTTTGAAATATCATACTAGCATTTTAGTTCAAGAAAAGAAAAAAAAAAAAAACAAGATGTGTTTGTGAAACGCTGATGCACTTGAGTGGCAACTGATTGCAAACTTAAGGTTTTAGTTTTTCAAATACGAGGAAAAATCCAAGGTCTAAGCCAAGAGATAAAAAAAAATAGATACACTTTTGAAATATGAAAGCCCTTGCAACAGCCACTTAGAAACTATGGTCATGGTTAAAGTTTTTCAGAAAGGTGAATCAAGTTCAAGGTCATAAAGTCAAAAATATTGTTACTTAAGTTTTGGCAGAAAGTGTTTCAAAAGTAGGTCAAACACCAAGTCAGGGTTGAAAGATAAAAATTGTTGGTGCCCAAGAGAAGGTCTTATCACAAGGGATACACATGTGAAATATGAAAACCCTAGATCTTACCGAGTGTTAAATGTTGGACGAAGGTTAAAATATTTCAAAAGTAGATCCAACCCTAAGGTAAAGGTCAAAAATAAAAAAAATGATTAGTACTCAGGGAAGGTCTTATCTATTCACAAAGAATACAGTTCCTTGTTCCTGTTCAAAATCTATCGTCAATGGTCAATGCTTAAATTTAGTAAAATTATGGAAATGTGGATTCAACTTCAATGGGGAGGTCAAAAGGTCAAATATGTTGGTACCCAACGAAAGGAAACATTACAATGAAAACACATGCCCTAGTTCCAACTGATCAAAACTCAGAAGTTTAAAGTTTTTTGCAGATAAACAGACAAACCATTCAAAATGGCTTTATGGAGACACTACATCAGTCAGCTTTTGCCATAAAATCAAATCAGTTGGAATACAGAATAATTGATCTAGAAGTCAGGGTGGGGGTTAGGGGAGTCAGTGAAGTCAGCACCTCCCACATCAGAGTTAATAAACACTATAGTAAAATAACCAAAATGACCTTGGATCCCCCTGGAAGCATGGATTCCCGATTTATTACATGGAGAGTCGTACAATTTTAAGAAATGGCTACTTGTACTCACTTCCCTTCCCGACAAAATAAGATTTTCTGAAGTGGAGAAGATGATTAAAATTACTTTTTACTTGTCAAATAAGTACTGATCGGATATCTTTTTTAATTTTTGAATGTTTGAGTGGATTTAATTTGAACCCCCTTGAAAAATACTGGGTCTGCGCATGAATGACTACATGTAGTAAGAATCTAATCTATAGTTAGTGTCAAAAAATATTTTTATTTTTAAAGTTGGCGTTCCAGCATTACAGTGCTGCTATCCCACAACTTGACATGGGATGGGTTTGGATAGAATGCGGGATTGAGGAATCACGATAGAAACAATAGTTATTTCAATCCTATACTATCCTGTATCGTACACCCAATCAGATTTTAATACAGGTTGATTCATATTTCCGAATAAATTTTTTAACGGAATAGATTTGAAAAATTTGAAACAAAAGAACTATTCATAAAATAACAATAGAAAATAAACATCTTTTTGCTAGCGCTCTCGAGCGCTAGCAACTACGTTAGTCTATTTCTGGAATACGCATGCTCGACTTCACGGTCGGGCATTCTGGGAAAACTACTGTAGATAGACTGTGCGATAACAATTTCGTTTTGTCATACAAATATAGATATGATCAGAATTTACACTAGCCTTTCCTGTCTGATATGTGCGATATACATTTCTTACGTTAGAGACAGACAATACCAGTCTAGATCCGGATTCTGATTTTTTTTTTTTATTTATTGTCTAACCTACACATAAAAGTACAAGAAAAACTTAGGTCATATAATTCCAAGATTCTAGACATCTAGCTTTCCTCACAGTTACACCACCTTCCTGGATATTTTCGGCAAGCTCGAAAAAAAAATCTTTTCAGAGTATGTCGGAAAGACATATCAGTTTAGTTTTTATCATCTGAAAATACATATGATCTGAAGTTAAGTGTTTTGTTGTCCATCCTGCACGTAAATGAACAAAAAGTAACAGTTACTCGGGTCTTATAAAACGAAGACTGTTATTTCTAAAATTGTAATGAATACCTAGCTTTTCTAATCTACCTTCTTTGATTTTTCCGGCAAGTTCGGAAAACCGCCGCAACCTCGGATATGTTTACCGAGCTTGCCGGAAAGTTCCGAGAAGATGCGATTGCTAAAAAAGCAGTAATACACTGGAATATTTTATGCTTTTATGCTTAAAGCACAGTTAGGAGTTATGCCATTGCCGACGTGAAGCTCACTCTTAGATTCACCATTCTGAATTATGACACCCCCCTCCCCCCCACCCCCCCACCCCCGACTCAACCCCCCCCCCCCCCCAGTGCTCCAATGTGCCTTCTTATTAATAATTAATCGATTCAGCAAATTTAACAAATGGTTCAGATATCTTCTGTATTTTATTATGCTACAGCGCTAGCTCACCAATCTTTTTAAAAGATAAGCTTGTTACACACCTAAGTTATCAGTATCAGTAGCATGTCGTAAGATTTAACCGAATGATTACCGGAAGAATCTATACATGTAAGTAAACATCGAAGAGTTCGAACGTCAATTAGTTATTCCATTTACAGAATTTCATTGTTTTATCCCTACAAAGTAAGGTTATTTTATGTCTTTTAAGAGCTTTCGGAATTTTATACAAATTAATTACTGAACCTTACTATTTAAAGGCTTTAGAAGTTGGTAATATTTTATATATGGGGTCCATATATGAGAGGCTTTTACTTGCGTTGAATATGTTTTATGATGATCCATCAATGGCTCTAAAACAAGAATTACAGTTCATTTATGGACCACAGTTTTATAACAAGGTTTCATATTATTTATATGATTGTTGTTTTCACAACAATTTCACTGCTGTGTTTTTAGAAAGACTTAGTGGAGTTTTAAAATTAAAAGTACAGAAAACTTTTAATGATTTTTTTTTTTACATTTTAATGTAAATCCAGATATTTTAGATGAATGTTCTTCGTGTATTTCGAATATTTGTTTAGAAAGACTGCTAGGTCAGTTAGATTTAATTTAAAATCAGGGTCATTTTCTGATATAAATACTATTGAAATTTCTATTAATTTTAATGACAATCAGTGGCGGATCCAGGAATTTCGTAACGGGGGGGGGGGGTGCAGTAGAAGGCAAGGGGTCTGGGGGGCTGCACTAAAGTCCCCAGTGGGTCTTGGGCAAGGCCCTGGTGGGGGTAAGGAAGCGAAACCTACGGAAGCTGACAAATTCTTACAAATAAGAGATGTTTTTTCCTTGATTTTAAGATAATGGATCCGCTTTTGACACCGATATAAGAAAATGGTTAGTGATCTTGAAGAAAGATGACAGCGAAAGAAAATTGATTATGGAAAATGCTCAAAAAGAAAAAAAATTGAACTTACAGATGGAAAGAAAATAAAACTAAGAAGGAAGAGAGACAGAAAGAGGAAACAGACAAAGCTTGGAAGATATGAAAAATCACGGAATTTGGGAAAGTAAGAGATCATACAAAAAGAAATTAAAAAGTTCAAATCAATGAAAGAAAAAATATCTGCTCTGTGTATTATAATGTATAATAAGATATTCAGAATTAGTAAAGAACAAAAAGTATATTCCCGCAAAGGCAAGCACTTTGATCTTGTATCCAAGGCCGCACCGGTTATGCCAAATGAAAATTCAAGGCGATTGATAAGAATTGTGTGATCAATCACATCGAAGGCTGCAGATAAGTCCAGTATCGAGAGAACAACACATGAGCCCTTGTCTAGTGCTGATGTTATGTCGTGATTGACTCTCGAAAGAGCAGTCTCAGTTGAATGATGAACACGGTATGCTGACTGCTGTCTATCATGCAGGTGGTTTGACTGTAAGTGATCTTCTAGCCAGAATTAATGACCTTTTCCAGGACTTTAGAAATAAATGGAAGGTTCGAGACAGGGCGATAGTTCTTAACAATAAATGTACAACATAAAGATACCACATTTTGAGAAAAAGACAATATAGCAAGTATGAAGTAAGAGTTATCTTTCATTATAAGAGTTACATTTTATTATTCTTTCAATGATAGGACACAAACTACCAATTATTTTGCTATACATTCCTTTATAATGTTAAAATTAATTTAAAAAATCACATCGGCTCTACTTATATGAAAATTGGCACAGAGTTAGAACAATTCAAGTCCAAAATTGTTCAGGCTCTCCGGAAAATTCATAGTCTGCAAGCCTAGCTATGACATCGCAAATAACCCCTGTTCTGCTTATTTCAGTTTCTCTTCGAGGAAAGGGTAAACATGGGCGTCTTTACACCCTTCCTGCTACGGACTTAAAAGCACAATTTCCCATTATTATCAATTTTATAATTTTTTTCAGACCCTCTCCTTTCCATCTATGCCCTTAAATTACCTCATTCCACCGGCCCATATACATTCCCAAGAATTTTTGAGAAAAAACCC